CCAAAGAGATTTGAACAGATCCTTCATCAAATACATGGAAATGGTCCATTAGTACATAAAAAAGCTAACATAATTAATCATCAAGAAACACAAATTGAAAACACTCTAAGATATCACTACACATCTACTGGAGTAACTAAAATTTAAAAGGAAAGGATGTGGAACAACTGTAACTCATACAATGGTGGTAAAAAATATAAAAATGGTATTATCACTTCAAAATATACAATTTCTCATATACCTAAATATAACCTTACCATACAACTCAGCAATTTTTATAAATTTAACTTACTCAATATCTTATACACAACAGACACCTACCCTATAACCCAGAAATCCCAATCCTAGCAATTAAAAGAGAGGTGAAAACAAATGCCTACACAAACTCTTAAATATAAATTTCATGGCTATTGCCTTTTAGAATTAATATAGTTAATAATTAATAAACCAAAAAAGCAAATCCACTGCCAGCAAGTCAATTCCAACTCATAGCGACCTTCACTGTTTCCAAGCCTGTAAATCTTTATGGAAGTAGATTGCCTTATCTTTCTCCCATGAAGCAGGTGGTGGGTTTGAACTGCTGACCTTCTGGTTAGCAGCCAAATGTCTTACCCACTAGGCCACCAGAGAATACTGCAATATAGAATATCTTATAAAACCAAAAATATTCTCAAGATAGACTTAATGTTAATGTGTGGAGTGATTTTTAAAGATAATGCATTTTTTAAGTCATAGACATACATAAACAAATGGAAATAACTTAAAACAAAAAACAAAACTTTATTTAAAAAAAAAAAAAAAGTGGCTGGCACCATAATGTGCCAACCTCAGATAATAGACAAAAACTGGAAATATTCCAAATGACCATCAACAATTGAATGGATAAATTCATGGTATAGCCATACAATGGTACAGTCACCAAAAAAAGTCACTGCCATCACATCAATTCCAACTCATAGAGATCCCCACTGAGTTTCCAAGGCTGCTCCAGAAGCAGACTGCCTCATCTGAAGACCTTTTGGTTAGCAGCTAAATACCTTAACTACTACACCACCAGAGCTCCTCAATGAAATAGTACTCAGCAATAAAAGGGAAGGACAACTAACATACAAGAATATAGTTAGGAGTCAGTTGCAATAAATCAGAATGAACTCAAGGAGGGCCTGAACTAGAGATAACAACTAGGATAAAGGAAAGTAGACAGATTTGAGAATTATTTAAAATGGTAACTGAATGTAAAAATGGAAACACTCTTAATAAGACATACTTATTGGTTAAGTGCTTGGCTGCCAACCAAAAGGTCATCAGTTCAAACTCACCCAGCTACTACATAGGAAGAAAGCCCTGGGGATCTGCTCCTATAAAGATTACAGCCTAGGAAATCCTGGAGTAGGTCTACTCTGTCATAGAAGGTCAGTATAATTTGAAATCAACTCGATGGCACACAACACAATGTGAGAATGTGATTTAAAAAAGAAAATACATTTTTTTAAGGGAAATGATATCTACTATATTAATTCTCAAAGGCAGCTGTTTCTTAGACTCTTCCCCATTATGCTTAGTTTCTCTTTGTTAAATTTCCTATTGAGTCATATACATTTGGTATCTAGAGTTCTTTGTTATGTACCCAGCAATACAAAAGAGATGACAGTGCATAGCAACAAAATGTCACTAAGGTGAGAACATCACAAAATAAGTCAAAATCATGTTATATAAAATAAGTACTCTCTGCCTATAAATTGTGCATTGCTTGGAATTTGCTAATCTTCATATCATACTAGTTTATTTTTGTATGAACAGAAGTGATATTTCATATAGTCCTAGATCTAAGCTTTTCAAATGGTGAAGATGAAGCAATCACTTGAAATCATACTCCAATGCTGATAATCACTTTTTCTTTTTTTTAATTGTGATTTGGGTAAAAGTTTACAGAGAAAATTCATTTTCCACACAACAGTTCATACACATTTTGTTTCATGACATTGATTTCAATCCCCATAATGTAACAGCTGTCTTCCCACTTCCTCCCTGTGGTTACCTTTTTCCTGTGTCCTCCTTTTCTATGCATTCCTGCCCTGTGAACTATCTCCCTGTGCAAAATGCTGCCCATCTGATGTTCCATGGTTGATTGTTCTAGGGAGTGTACCTACCTGTGGTACATACTCACTTTATAGGCCTCTCCATTGTCTGGCCGGAAGCCACAAGAGTGAGTTCAATTCCAGGCCCAAAAGGGTGATTATAGGCATAGTCTCGGGCATCTCACCAGTCTCTATCAGACCAGCAACTGCTATTCACTTTTGTAGCATCTTTATGTAAATAGATTCTATCACTAAAGTCAATTTGATCAATCCAGCAGATCTGGTTTTGGATCCTTTACCTCTGGTCACAAGGGAGCTCTGGTAGCATAGTGCCTAAGGCACTTGACTGCTAACCAGAAGGCTGGCAGTTCAAACCCACCAGCCACTCCCCGGGAGGAAGGTTGGGCAATCTACTTCTGTAGTGATACTGCCTCGGAAACCCAAGGAGGGGTCGCTATGGGTCGGATCCGACTCCACAGCAATGGTTGCCTTGTTTTTTTGCCTTGCCTACCTCTGGTCACAAGGCACAGTACCCTAACCTTCTCTGACCTGCTCCTACCTCTTTTTCATTCCAAAAAGAAACCATAGGAAGTTATACATAGAATCCTAGGCTCTGTGAAAAAGTTTGGCAACTGAATATTCCAGGCTGCCTGGCTGCCTGAGTTCCTTAGAAACCTACCCTATTCCTGAGGACTACAAACAAAGCATCTCCAGTAGGAAGATACTACCAACAGAGAGTAATCTAAGATGGTCCTCAATAATTCTTGCTTCTTAATAATTATGTTCTTGTCCTGCTGCATGCTAATTTACATTGAACATAAAACAGTGCAATAGAGATGGATATCATTCCAAAATTAGGTTATAAAAAGATTATCTTCCATCTCTAACTCTCCATCTCAGAACCCTTATTCTGGGGGAAACAAGCTGCCATGGTGTATCACTATGGAGAAGTTAACATGCAAGGAACATGTACGTCTCTGGCCATAGCCATGTAAGTGGACTTGGCAGTGAATCTTCCTCTTAAAGAGCTTTGAGATGACTGTGATCCCGACCAACAAGATGGGCAGTAACAGGTAGCTGGGTCTATATGCAAGATGACAGAAAATGAACCAACAGGGCTTAACATGAACTTCAGACACCTATGGCTTCTTAGAAACGTGTAGCAGTTATCAGATACTGGACTGGCTATTCATTGCTGTATAAAAAATTACACCAAAACTTGGCAGCCTAAAAAACAAACATTCACTATTTCAGTTTCTGTGGGTTAGGAATCCAGAAGTTGCTTAGCTGGGTGTTTCTGGTGCAGTCTCTAACCAGGTTGAAATCAAACCCTTAGCTCTCTTCTCTTCCCTTTATACATTTACTCCATGGGTTATCCCATCCAGTCTCATGGCTTAAAATCCCATGTAGGTGCCTATGACTCCCAAATTCATGTCTACCTTTTGACCACTAGACTCAACATATCCAAATATCCAATATGCCCATACTAGAGCTCCTCTTTGGGAGCTCTGGTGGCATACTGCCTAAGGCACATGACTGCTAACCAGAAGGCTGGCCGCTCAAACCCACCAGCCACTCCTCAGAAGGAAAACTGGCCAATCTACTTCCGTAGAGATAGCGCCTCAGAAACCCAAGGAGGGGTCACTATGAGTTGGATCCCACTTGACAGCAGTGAGTTTGATTTTGGTTTGGTTACAACTTCTCTTATATACCTGAAAGACCCAATTTACATCTGCATAGTTCACTTTCCCATCTTTCAGCTCTCTGTTCAAAGGTAACTTCCTCACATACTTTCCATGGCCATCCTTTATAAAACAGCATTTCTCCTCATTTACCAACCCATAATGCTTTTTAATTTTTTGTCATTGCTCTCATCACAACTTGCTATTTAAATTATGTATGTTTTATGTTGGGAGCTCTGGTAGCATAGTGGCTAAGGCACTTGAATGCTCACCAGAAGGCTGGCGGTTCAAACCCACCAGCCACTCCTTGGAAGGAAGGTTGGACAATCCTACTTCCGTAGTGATACTGCCTCGGAAACCCAAGGAGGGGTCGCTATGAGTCGGGGCTGACTCGACAGCAAACAACAACAACAACATGTTTTATGTAAGTTCTATAAGACCAGAGTCCTTATTCACTGTTGTGGTAGTTCAGTTTGTGTGTCAACTTGGCTGGACCACAATTCTGTGTGGTTTAAGCAGTTGTGATGTGGTTATTCCCATGATGAGATCAGATGTATGTGTTTTGAACAGCCAATCCGCTGAAAGGGAGTTTCCCTAGGGGTGTGGCCTGTTTCCAGTATATTTATGGACATTCTGGAAAAAGAGACATTCTTCTGTGGATCAGGATTCTATTGTGCTACCTACAACTGTCCATGAGCGAACAATCCACCATTTGGCCTGGAGACCTTGGATTTGCCTTCCCTGCACGCAATGTTTCTGCCAAAACTACCATCGGCGGACTTACAGAATGCCTTATCCACCCACCCTCATGGTATCCCATACAGCATTGCTTCAAATCAAGGGACTCACTTCACAGCAGATGTAGTACAGAAACGGGCCTATGCTCACGAAATTCATTGGTTTTACCATGTTCCCTATCATCCTGAAGCTGGCTTGATAGAACGATGGGATGGCCAAGTGAAAACACAATTACGGCGCCAGCTAGGTGGCAATCCTTGTAGGGTTGGGGCAATGTTCTCCAGGAGGCTATATATGCTCTAAACCAGCATCCAATATATGGTTCTATTTCTCCAATAGCCAGGATTTGGTACCAAGAAAATGAAGTGCTGCTCTGACAGATGCCTAAAATGTGGAAACAGGAGTGGACCCGAGACCCTAGCAGAGAGACCCCAACATACGGCATGAGACAGCAGGGGCAGAGCCCAGAGACCCAGAGATTATTAAACAGCAGCAGGCTTACCAGCCCATGGAGGAGAAAGCCAGGTACCATTGAGTAGGCGGTTTCCTGGCAGAGTGAGTTGCCTTCAGGCATTAAGTGGTAAAATAGACCGGTTGAAATGGAGTAGCAGGTTGGCTGGCCCACGGAGCAAGAAAACTGAGTGTTTTGGGGTGGTAAGATTTCCTGCAGAATGGGTTGCCTTTGGCATTAATCGGCAGAAGCAGAGAGACCAAGGAAAGGAAGCACAGCTGCCTCAGCCTGAAAGGGTAGGACTATGGCCTCTGGGGGTGGAATGACCACAGCCCCCTAGGTTTCAAAGAGCCAGGCCTTCACCAACTTGGTTCTGGAGTGTGGGACAATTTGTTCATGTGAGCCAGTGGGATGGAGCCACAGCTGCTGCCCAAGAGTGAGGGGGCAGGGCTGCCAGGCCCAAGAGGGAAAGGAGTGGGGCCTATCAGACCAAGGGGGTGAGGTCACCACTTAGAGGAACTAGGAGACTGGAGTCACCCAGTGAGAGAGATCCGTACAGTTGTCACCCATTGAAGATCTGTACAGACGCCAAGTTGACGAGGGGTGGAATTGCGGTAGTTCAGTTTGTGTGTTAACTTGGCTGGGCCTGGTTGAACGACTGGGCAGCTGGTGGTAGTTATTCCCCATTATGAGACTGGCAATCAACTCCATGGTGGGATCTACCACAAGCAGCTGAGTAGCTGCCTTTAGAATGTGGTCTGCTTCCTGTATATAAGGAGAAGCCTTGGGAATGGTCTCTAGCCTATGGCACGCTTGGACCCTGCATGTAGTCCTGTCGATGCTCACCATCCTGCTATGCTCTGCCGACCCTGGAACTTACAATGGACTGAAATTAATGGCCTGCTGTGTGGTTTGGTAACATCGGGACTGTGCCTTTTTACTTGTCAACCTTGGGCTTCTTAGCCTCAGCAGCCAGCAGCTGTATGAGTGTAGAAACACCTCTAGCTCCAGTGGGCCGGGATCAGGAAGCAGAGCTGGATCCCAAGGTTGAAGGGCTTTCACCTCTAGAGCCTAGCACTTTGAACTTGGGGCTTAAAGCCTCCAAACTGTAAGAGAATAAACTCGTTTGTTAAGGCCATCCCATTTGTGGTATATTCTTGTCAGAGTGGCACTAGGGAACCACAACGACTGTTTTACTCTCAGTGCTTACACCATGCTCAATACATAATTAATTACTAAATAAAGAATAGAAAGGAACTGATGAAAGAGACATGTTTGAAGGAGAACTGTATAAATTGACTTTTCACCAGTGCATAACTCAAATGTTATGAAAGATACTTACTTTTCCTTCTTTTCTTGTTTGTGGGCCTGTCTTGTCATTTGAGCTGCTTTTCTACTATATGGATGGATAACTTTTTTTTCGCGTCCTCCACTTCTTCCCTTTGGTGCTTTAGGCTGAAAATGTAGGGGAAAAACATGTCATGTAGGTTGCTGTTAATTTCCATCTGGTCATTTTCAACTCTCAGCGATCCCATTTGACAGAACAGGACTGCCCAACAGGGTTTTCTTGGCTTCATCCTTTACAGCAGCAGATGGCCAGGATTTTCTCCCACAAAGTGGCTACATGGATTCAAACCTCTAAGCTTTTGGCTAGCAGGAGAGCATATTGACTGTTTCTACAGCCCAAGGACTCCATACCTTATACTAGTATTTATGAATTTAAGAAGGAAAAAAAATTTTAAAAAAAGCTTACTAAGCACACACTATTTATCCTGTACTAGAATAGTTACTGAGGCTTCAGGACCAAACAAAATAGGCACTGATTTGCTCTTACAGAGTTTACAATCAAGCTATCTTATGAATAACTATATACCTTATTAACTGCTATGGCTGGAAAGCACAATGTCTTTGACTAAGACATATAATAGGCAGACAAAACTCTGGGGAATCAGGAAAGGCCTCTTGGAACAAATGACTTTGAAATCTAAAAGATAAGTAGGAGTTCAGGCAAAGAGGATGAAAAAGATCACTCCTGTGTGACAAAGCTCTTGTGACAAGGAAAAGTCTGGCCAAGTCCGAGAAACCAAGAAAAGTCCAATAGAGCTAGAGCACAGTATACAAGGAGACTAAGAAAGATGAGGTTATACAAGAGACAGATCATGCTGGTCCTCATATATCATTTTAAGGGTTATGAAGCATTTATTTTTAAAAAGACAACCTGAGCAGTTCTATAAAGAAGAGTTTGGAAGGAGGCAGAGTAAGAAACAGAAAGACCTGTAATAGTACAGAGGTGGTTAAGAAACGATGGCTGAGTGAGGGACCTGAGGGTAATGACAGTTAAGATGGAGAAAAATAGTAATGTTTAAAATATGCTTTGATAGGACTTAAATACCAAGGATGAGGGAAAGAGAGGAATAAAGTATGATTCTCACACCTGCAACACAAGCAACTATGTGGCCAGAAGTACCACTTACTAACATAGGAATGGCATATGAGGGGGCAGGGAGCTTCAAGCATTCACTTTTAGATACTTTAAGCTTAATATACTCAAGAGATAGTGAAGCTGTTGTTGTTGTTGTTGTTTGCCGTCGAGTCAGCCCCGACTCATAGCGACCCCTCCTTGGGTTTCTGAGGCAGTATCACTACGGAAGTAGGATTGCCCAACCTTCCTTCCGAGAAGTGGCTGGTGGGTTTGAACTGCCAGCCTTCTGGTGAGCAGTCAAGTGCCTTAGGCACTATGCTACCAGGGAGCTTCAAGCATTCACTTTTAGATACTTTAAGCTTAATACAATCAAGAGATAGTGAAGTAGAGATGTGAAATAAATAAAATGAGTCTGATACTTTAAAAAGGTCTGGCAGATTTGGAAATACTTAGTTTGTGAATAAGAATCAACACACATATCTGAGTTACAGATATTTAAAGACAGTAGAGATAATATGACTCCCTCCTCAGTTAGAACTCACTATCCACTCTGCAGAAGATGAAGCAGTCTACTTCCATAAAGATTTACAGCCTTGGAAACTCTTTGGGGGTTGCTATGAATTGGAATCAATTGGATGGCAGGGGGTTTGTTTGGTAAAAGAGTAACAAAGAAACAGGCCTAGGACTAAGCTTAGATGAAGTACAAATGAGCATCTACTAGGTAACAGCAGGACATCTACTATGTACATCTACTATGTAACTATGCTAGGAACTGCAGATATACCAATTGGGGGAGGGATCGAACCTCATGGAATTGACTTTCTACTTTCTACTGTTATTTATATGCGCCTCACCAATTCTACCTTGCGAGATATAGGTAAGTAAGTTCCATATGGTATCACAATTCCAAGCAGTCTTGCACATAGCTGTGGCTGAATAAATATTTTGTTGAATTGCAAGACAACTGATAAATTCATTTTAGAAGAACTATCAGCCTTTAGAAGGAGCTCTGGTGGCATAGTGTCTAAGGCATTTGACTGCTAACCAGAGAAGACTGGTGGTTCAAACCCACCAGCTACCCCACAGAAGGAAGGTTGGGCAATCCACTTCTGTAAAGATTTACTGCCTTGGAAACCCAAAAGAGGTCACTGTGAGTCAGAACTGACTCGATGGCAGTTGCGGGGTTTTTTTTTTGTTGTTGTTATCAGCCTTTGGCAGTGAACATTTCCACTTGATGAGATCCATTATATATAATATCACTTAAAGGTGGCATAGTGCCTAAAGCACTTGACTGCTAACCAAAAGGCTGGCAGTTCAAACCCACCAGCCATTCCTCGGAAGGAAAGCTGGGCAATCTACTTCTGTACTTGATACCGCCTGGGAAACCCAAGGAGGGGTCGCTATGAGTCGGATGCAACTCGACGGCAGTGACTTTGGTTTTTTGTTTTTTTTTTTTTTTTAAAGGTTCTTAATGACAATGTAAGTTTCTTAAGTCCTTAATTTTCTAAACCTTTTTCACAAGACAAAATGTACACATTTTACTCTTCTTCCTTAGAATCATTAATTATGATAACACATGGACATCCTTGAAAGCTAACTAAACATTTATCAATTTCTAAGCTACAAAATAATAATACATATATAATTATTATGAAAGTTGTTCAAATCAAAGAATCAGACAAAACTATCCTCTTTGTTCGTAGAACAAGGGAGAAAATAGTATAAAATAATATAGTTCAATACTGATTTTGATCCAACATCGATAAACACCTGCAGCACTGTGCCTTATCTCTAGATATGGATAATCAATGCTTTTTACAACAAAACAATTAAAATTTAAAATCAGTAAGAGCTAAACAGTGCCTAAGGCATTTGACTGCTAACCAGAAGGCTGGCAGTTCAAACCCACCAGCCACTTACCAGAAGGAAGGCTGGGCAATCTTACTTCCATAGTAATACCGCCTCAGAAACCCAAGGAGGGGTCGCTATGAGTCAGGTCTGACTGGATGGCACATAACAACAACAAAAACAAAAGCTAAACCGCCATTGGCTTATATACTCTTAACTTTTAGGGGCAAAATGGTACTCAAAAAAAAAAAAAAACTACACAGAAAATGAAAAAGGGAGCATTAAAATAAGCTGCAGGGAAAGCATAAAAAAAGTGTTTAATTTTCATTCCAAATTCAGTAAGAATTCTCTAAAGTTTGAAAGAGGGGTTTAAAAGGAAATAAGTTAGAGTAAGATAATTAAGATTTTTTAAAATAGACAATAAAGCTAGGAAATAATGTGGTTTAATCTCATTTCATATGTAACTCCATTTAGACCTTCCAGGGAAGAATAGTAATATATCAAATTAATACACAAATTAAATGGCACTTCTATCAAAGACTAGGCTATCACAATATGTGATCATAATAAAAGAGATACAATTATCAAGGAAGGCCTAGCTTTCCCTAGAAATATTTAAAGGAAAATACAGTGTTTCCAGGATCCCTGCTGGCACAGTGGTTAAGCCATTGGCTGCTAACCAAAAAGGTCAGCAGATAAACCCCATCAGCCATTCCACTGGAGAAAGATAAGGCAGTCTGTTTCGGTAAATATTTATAACACTGGAAATCCTATGGGGTGGTTCTACTCTGTTCTATAGGGTTGCTATGAGTTGGAATCAACTTAATGGCAATGGGTTTGGTTTGGTTGGGGTAGTCTTTCAAGCATATTTGGATTGGTGGTGATAAAAATATAGAGGTGGTCTGCTTAACCAATTTTGGTGCTAAACCTGCATGATAAATATCTAAATATTTACCTAATTTTAAAAAAATAAAATTTCTTCTCAACTGAAGAAAACTTTGAAACAAAGGTACTTTTAAGAAAATTTGCTTGTTCATGCAACATTCTTTACTCAAGTCACAGCCCTGATCTGATGGAAGGGGAGCTTCACTGTGGTGTAGCCTCCATCACCTTAAGTTATAAGAGATAAAAGGAGAGAGAAGCAAGCAGAGAGAGAGAGACTTACTGACACTATAAACAAGAGCTGGGAGCTTATCCTTTGAACTGAGGGTCCTTGAGCTGAGAACATCCTAGACCCAAGGGAAGATTGACTCCAAGACACATGAAGATCTCCAAGGACCCCTAGTGCTGAAAGGAAACAAGGACTTTCCCTTTCAGCCAACAGAGAATGCTTTCCCCTAGAACTGGTGCCTGAATTTGGACTTGTAGCCTCCTAAACTCGGAGAGAATAAATTTGTTCAAGCCAGCTACCTATGATATTTCTGTTATAGCAGCACTAGATAACTAAGATAAACTATAAGTATTATTCCCCTTCCTTTCTTACCCTGTTTTGTTTCTGAGTACTTCTTTAACAAAAACCGTTTAGTGTAGAAGTTAAAAGCATTGACTTGGAGTCAGATGGAACTGGGTTTGATTATTTATTGCATGAAACAAAAGCTAATAGCCTAGAGTAACTTACCCAATCCTTTTTCACTTTCAGTATGTTTCCTTACTTTATATGATTAAGGTGAGGAACAAATGAGAAAGTAGCAATCAGTGCTCGGTTTCTGACACTAATTAATACTTCTAATTAAGCTGCTACTGGCAGCAAATAGTAATGCTTTTCCCTTTCTTTGTTTGGTCTCTAGTTAGACCCACCACCAAAATTTTTTTTTTAATTAAAAAAAAAAAAACTAGCTCAAATCCATGACAACACAAGCTTATTTTTATTTAAATTAATTACTTCTAGTGGAAACTGATTTTCTATCATGTTGGTCTGGCACTAAAAGCGAACAGGTTGATGTTGTTGTTGTTGTTGTTGTTTGCTGTCGAGTCGCTCCCGACTCATAGCGACCCCTCCTTGGGTTTCCGAGGCAGTATCACTACCGAAGTAGGATTGCCCAACCTTCCTTCCGAGGAGTGGCTGGTGGGTTTGAACCGCCAGCCTTCTGGTTAACAGTCAAGTGCCTTAGGCACTATGCTACC